AACTTTTTCATTAATACTTTTTGGATAATTGAGTCATTTGATTGTTGTGTAGATATAACAGATAACTTAGAGTCTATTTGAGTATTTAACTTAACAAGATTTTTTAATTGTAATTCAATTTCATGTAAAGTTAATTCTTTCTTTATGACTGAACTATGTTTTATATTTTCATTTTTTAAAGTCCTTACTTGTTCCTTTAGTACTTTATTATCTTCATTTAATTGATTTACAGTATTTGTCATTTTCATAAAAGCCTCTTCCCATTGAGCCTTCCCCTCATTCATAAATTTGTAATTTTCTTGAATCATTTGTACAATATCTTTACCAAAAGAAGACGTTTTGCGTTGATGATCTTTCTTCATCTTATGTGAAGACATTGCTCCAATCACTGACCATACTTTTCGTACTTCACTTAATTGTTGTATACATCGTGTTTCGTCATACTCAGTGTCATTGTTTAAAATAAATGTCCATAAAAATTCTTTAGAAAGACCATTTTTCTTAACATCAGGAATATCCTTCAGTTCTTTTTCTTTTTTATTCCAAAACTTAAAGGCACCAAGTGAAGATGATTGAGGTTGAGTTGTAACTGGTTCACTCATCAAAGGTACAATCTACAGATCTTATAAAATCGAGGTTTTGATTTTTAAATGAAAAGAAAAACCTCTTCAAATTTTCATTTTTTTGAAGAATATTCAAAGAAATGTTATTTTAAAAAAACTTATGTTATTTATGATATGAAAGGATTAGGATAAAAAGAAATATGTTTAGCAATGCTTTTAAAACTAAAAAATGAAAACTTAACAACTTTAAAAAGAAAATGACTTGTTTTAATATAAATCAACCTATTTTCTCTGTTGACTTAGAAATAATTATGTCCTATCAAAAATCTTCTTATCCAAATGTGTCTATTCCTATTGCTTTTTTATTGATGAGAGATACAATTATTGCACTAGGTGGTAATAAATTAGAAGGGTTATTTAGAGTCCCAGGAAAACAAGATGATATCGATGGTTATAAAACATTATTTAATGAAGGAAAATATGAGATTTATAAAGAATGTAATTGTCATACTATTGCAAGTTTATTTAAATTGTTTTTGAGAGAATTACCTACTCCAATTATTCCACCTATTTATTATGATAAATTTGTTAATGAAGATGTTGTTGCAAAATTAGATGAGAGTCCAGATAAAGTTATGGAGTTATTAAATTTATTACCAAGAATTAATAGAGATATGTTTATATTTATTATTGACTTTCTTCAATTCTTAGTTCCATTTGAGTCATTAACAAAAATGGATATGGATAATTTGGCAATGGTTTTTAGTGCTTGTATGATTATAAATCCTGATCTTGATCCTTTTAGTGCTTTAACTAAAACAAATTTAGCTAAAAATTTAATTTATGAAATGATTCTCCATATGCCAAAATCTGCTATTCAAGAATTAGATTTAAATGTACAAGGATATACTAGTGGTAAAGGAATGTTATTGTTGGAAACAGACCCTATTGAATTTTTAAAAGAAGAAATGGAATCAAAAAAAACTAAAGACAAATCAAAAAAACAAAGTGGCTTGTTTAGGAGTCATGCCCAAACTAATCAAAAAATCTA